AAGACAAAAAGACGTTGCGGAGACTGGATCTGTCTCCGTCTTCAGGTGGATAGGGAAGGATAAACCTACTCAGTTTGGCCCGTTAGAAAGAGCTAGTCTAAATCACTAGACTCAATCCCAACTGAGTAGGTTTATCCTTCCCTATCCACCTGAAGACGGAGACAGATCCAGTCTCCGAAACGTCGTGGTTTTTTGTCTTTTACATACTAGACGATGGGTGAAGTCCTACATAAGCCAAAAGAAGTATAAATAGGTTCATGTCCCGTAGATAGTAGCCTTCATAATCACATTCTGGGAACTTAAAAGAAAACCTTCTGGGCAGTAGATGTCTCGACCGAGATTCAAACTGTGTACCTCAGGAATACAAGTCGGAAGCATTATCGATTGAATAAGCTTGCTCGCTGGAATATAGAATGTGATTCTAAATTATTCTCCGCGTTTCCATTGCCAATAATTTTCAAACCGGAATAAATAAAGCAAAACTTCTTACGGAGTATGAAAGTGTAACTTCAAAAGTTTTATTATTTACACAATAAAAATGTTGTGTTACACTTTTATATTCCTTAGACAGTTTTATGCAGACAGACATTTTTTGAGTTACATTTTAATATTTCGTAAGCAGTCTCATTTTGTTTCCGGTTTAAAAATTACTGGCCACGGAAACCTCGACAATAATTTAGAATCACTCTGTATTATTGAATTAGATCTCAAGTAATGCCATTTACGATTGTGACGTTATTACTTTTTATATATAGGATATGAAGTTTGACGTTTAGTTATCTTCCTTCTCAATTAACCATCTAACTAGTTAGTTAATTAGGTACTTAGTTAATGTAGCTTCTTTGTGTGAGGAAACCCATGAGCCTCCTTCAAGTTACGGAAGGTTCGGCCGCCCCGTGCTGCCTACAACTTCCATACATGGACGCATCTACAAGTCAAGGATTGTAGTTCATTCACTCGGTCTCAAGAGACTCTCGTACCATGGGATGGCCATGCATCGCGCGGGGAAGGCAAGGCAATCACTGCCAAACTTTACGCAACGGCGACCCCACATTCCGTCAATGTTTTAGAAATATAAATCATAGAATTACAGCATTAAGTAACCAACTGGCTGAACAAGTTCGTGTGATGATAATTCCGAGAAGCCCGGGTCACCTGTTTTGTTTTCCTCAGTCTCACCAGGCATGCTGCGATGGTATTTCGATTAGACCGTGAACGTTTCCTTCCAAATTTTTTACCAATTCTTAGTTCATATAAGGAGTCGTAAAATGCCCCCAAAAATGCACGCCCAATCTACCAAACAAATAATTCTCATGAAGAAAGCAGTCTTCTGGGATTTGGCACCGTGTATATGTGGTGTTAACAGACGTTTCGGAGGAACGTATCGCCTCCGTCTTCAGGGTAGAAGGAAAAATATAAGAAATCCGCAAGCGAAGAGACCAGTCTGCTTTTACCAGTTCTCACGGTCTCTTCGCTTGCAGATTTCTTATATTTTTCCTTCTACCCTGAAGACGGAGGCGATACGTTCCTCCGAAACGTCTGTTAACACCACATATACACGGTGCCAAATCCCAGAAGACTGCTTTCTTCATAGTCACCGCCGTGAAAGCCTCAAATCTTACAAATATTTCCCATTTTTAAATAAATACTGGAGGTTACGTGGACAGACATCCCGAAAAGCGGAAACGTGGAAAGTGGAGGGGAGAGGGCTTTAGATGAACTTCAGAGAGAGACGCGAATGAGTTCCGGAGAATGAGCAGAATAATAATAACCCTGCTACAAAGAACAAAGAGCATACAGCTACAACTGCTTACAGTGACAGCAGTAAGTTCGTAGATTTGCCAGGTGCAAGAGCAGTGCGACTACTTGGTAGGGTAAAAGAAGAGATCGAGTAAGTTATAATGAAGTTCTAGACCAGGCATGTCAAACTCAACTTGTACAGAGGGCCACCTCAGCCCTATAAATAATAGTCCAGGGCCGCACTTCAAAATAGAAATATACATTAGATTTTGATACAAGGAAATTTAATTCTATTTATTATTTAGGAATAATTTCAATATAATTACCTAAAGTCACATATCTTACAGTTTTAAAAAGCAAGAGAATGCCATTTTTGACAAGTATCAAACAACTTTTCAATATGTAAAAAGAGAGATTACACAAGAAATTATGTTAGAAATAGCAAAACATTGAATTTCCTGCAGCCTGCTAATTTATGTCTGCATGAGACTTCTTGTCTTCTGGTCTGTTGGAAAACTGTCTTTACAAAAAATATTTCTACTAAAATTTTAATATTGATTTTAATATCAATTAGCTATAAAAGTTGAGGGGCCGCACTTTGTGGCTATGGGGGCCGCATGTTTGACACGGCTGTTCTAGAACCTTAAAGAGGAAATAGGAAATCTAAAGACGAAATGATATATAACACAATTTAAGAATAAATGGAAATTCCCCCAAACTTCTACTAAACTATAAATCGAAGTTCACAGAGAATAAGCAGTACCCAACATGAGACGTAACTATACATGCAACTGAAGACGGAACAGAGCACAGAGACTAACCCTTGAAGAATAAAATTAGTAAGGTTATGAGGATGATTATTGAATGCAATTGGTACTGGACGTGGTCCAGTTGCTGACGTTTGTTATTGGCTATGTCGAACCTTCAGTTTCTGGTACTAGAGAATGTGTTAGTTATGTTAGTACAAAGCGAAGAGGAGTCAGACTGAAGTGAACTGTCTCGGGATAGAGCTGGTATATTCCTGCGAACATATTGATAAATATTGCAATCCTATAACATCTAATTTCTTGGCTAGTTAGCCGTTAGCGTAGCTGTGGAGTTTATGTGCAGTAGCAAGTCAAGCGCCGCCACTGGCTAACACATGTGATGTTCTTCGTGTTTCTTTACGTTTGTACCGGAATTACTCGTATAGGGACTGCATGGAACTAGATTGCAGATACGCAGACAAACATGCACTAAATTCTCCCACCCTGCAAATTATGTGCCTGAGTGACAGGTCAGTCTATTGTTTTTTCGTTATCTGAAATCGACCCATGCGGCAAAAGATTCCAGCCAGAATTATTTCTGGTTGTGTGGGTAGTATTCGAAGGCCATCAAACATTTCAGAAAGTGTTTGTCATCAAAATTTTTCAAGACAACTTCACGTGTCGTTGAACCATTGTTATGTCACTTACAAACAAGCTGAAGGAGTGTTGGAGAAGAAAGTAAAGATAATCAGTGCAAAGTCCAACCTAAAGGGAGCCAATTTAGCGGTAATCAGACAGGCAGGGCGATTGTCGGAATTTTTACAATTCCTGTGCTTGCCCTACCCCACAATCTTTATGGTGTTACTTCCTTTTGGGATTTTACCATAACCCTAGCTAAGTCTAACTAAGGGTACGAATCGTTTTAAGACTCAAATGACTTAGTTCAATTTGACTGATTAAACCAAGAAGAATGAGACGGAAAATCACGGTGCACGTACAGGGAAGATTAGAAATGTGTACAATATTTTAGTTGGACATCATCAAGGAAAGAGGCTACTTGGAGATCTAGGCATCTATGGGAGGCTAACGAGGCAAGAACTAATCGCCTTTTTTCCTTTGATAGGACATGGACCGCATAGAAAAAGAAAAAATTAGGAGGGATACACAGAGAGCGAGGCAATCTCATATGCCTCCTAAGCAAAATTACGGAAAATACACAGACACAAGACGAATATATAGACAGATGGACAGGCACATATACTCGTAGAGGGCAAGGTGGTCTCATTAGCCTTTTATTTTTTTAAAATAAGGAAATCAGGCTAAAAGTGAATCTTAGAGAGGTAGGGTGGAAGCATGTGGATGGGTGCAACAGGCTTTTGTGAACATGGCTCCGTAAAGGAGGAATTTCCTGAGTGACTGAGTAACTATAAACAATCAAGAATTTATTCTATAGAGATAAATAGATATCTGGGTAATGTCTAGTTACTGGCTCAATAGCTGAGGCTGCTGGGGCGGGATATTTATTTCTCTTTACCATAACGCTCAAGAATAATTCTGTCCCCTCCCAAAGTGACTGCGACTGATCTAAGAAACTTTGAACGAGATCTAACCGAAAATTTGGTGGAGTGATATGAGGTAGGGGAAAGAGCATTCTTCTATCACTTCTCTCACCTTCACTCTCTAAACTCTCACGTTGGGTGCAACCGGGATTGAAGCAGGGATGTACTGATGAAGGTATGACTGAAGGGGCATGTGGGAGAGGAAGATTAAGAGGAGGGCATACAGATGAATAACAG